ATTAACTTTAAGGATCATTCTTACATCTTAAATTTTACATTCAAGATTTCTTCTGGTATTGTGAAGTTTTATGTAGAGATAATAATTCTTATTAACGTGTATTATAAAATTATACATTTATCTCTGCCTCCAGGCTTAGCCAAGAAAAGCAGCTGCAGCATTTATGAAAATCCTCTAAAAGACAATATCTAATAAGGCCTATTCCCCGCTACTGCCTCCATTTGTAAATCACACAGTATGGAAATTTCGTACAGATAACATAAGACTGCTGCTCAAAAGTCTCAGCCTACAAGAAGGAAAAGTAAACTTAACCGCTGGAAACATTATAGCAAAATGACAGGGTAAAAACACAACGTCTGAAATCCCAGCCGAAATAAATGTTTCAAAGTTTCAAAATTCAATGCAGCAAATAAATTAAAGACCCTTTGCTACAATGCACAGCTGGGCAATGAATTCAAGGCTTTTCAAGGACTGCCTCATCGCAGGGTGGTGTCGAGGCTCTGTGATGCTGATTATCCAATGGACAAAGGCTCAGGAAAGATGAGATGACAGCAGAAAGGACATCAAAGCTAGTTACTAAAGTAAACACTTCCAAGTATGCCTTAAATTCATGTTGCTCTGTGTCTAATGCTATGCTGACCAAAAACTGATCGCTCACAGTTAACCTAATTACCTTCCTTGAAGAAAGATTTGTGCATTACACATATTTGGTTAAAAAGGAAAAATCTCAACATGAACACCAACCCGGTACTTCCATATATGCTGCCTCATTTAAACCTCACCATAAACCTGTGAGGGGGACTTTTTTTTTTTTTTACCAGTGAGACAGCACGCTCAGAGAGGGGGGTGTAACTCCCCCAGGACATGTCAGTAAACTACCAAGCCTGGCTCTGTGGGCCTCCAAAGCTGCCTCCTTCTCTCCATCAGGCCAGTGCTGTAAGGCACCAATGGAGTTACCATCTTCAAAATTTTCAGCAAGAATGTGAAATTCTCATTATACACACACGAGGTGATATGATAGTATACTAGTTATCACACCTAGACAGTGTCACGTACCTTCATGGGAAACAGTGTAACAGCACTGTTTCACATGCTAGTTGGGAGGGAGGAGTGAGACAATGCTTCGGCATTGTTATAGTTATGGGGACTAAGCAAAATCAACCAGGGCACTCTCCAAATGGTGAAGTGCCACAGAAACATGAGCCACCACTGCAAGTCCTACGTGCCTGTGTGTAAAAACCCACACTGGTGTCAACCCTGTGGACTGCCTATACTTTTCAAAACATCCCTGGGGGGTCGGCCCCCTGGCTGAGTGGTTAAGTTTCCGAGCTCCGCATTGGCGACCCAGGTTTTCCCCGGTTCGGATCCTGGGCGGGGACATGGCACAGCTCTTCAGGCCATGCTGAAGTGGCATCCCACATAGAACAACCAGAAGAATCTACAACTAGAATATACAACTACGTATTGGGGGGCTTTGGGGAGAAAAAAAAAAAAAAGATTGGCAACAGATGTTAGCTCAGGTGCCAAACTTTAAAAAAAAAAAAATCCCTGAAAACAGTTGAAATTTTGTTAAATGATACTGAAATATTCTCATATATGACCACACTAAAAGAGATTACTACTATATCCAAGAGAAAAAAACTTTTACAGAATCCATTCAGAAACCCAAGTCAATGAAAGGAATTTAGCGTGTTTCTTACCCCTTACAACGCTGTTGTGTTTTTAAATAAAGGAGTGGTTTATACATACAATATTCATAGAAGTATTTTTTTAGGATGAAAAAGAGACACCAACTAAAAATAATGTTGAAATTTTTCTATATAGTAAAATCACTTTCTCTGAAAGAGATTCAAACTAAAATCTACCCAAATAAAAATAGTTTTGGTATTCTTTTGTTGTTCAGTAAGACAAAATCTTAATTACAAAACATTACTACATTACACTACTTCTGTGAAGTGTTATGTCCATTGAGAGGGCACAGGGAAAAGTCTGGAGAACCTGGGACGGAACTAAAGAAGGAACGGTCCCTTAGGAATACATGTAGTGGTGTTAGAATACCTGGTTTTGCCCCCACAGGCCCTCCTCCCTCTGTTTATGTTACGAGCTCTGTGTCAGCAAGAAACTGAGACAGCCTCTGAAATTTTCCAAGTGCCTCGTGTAATGTTATATATACACAGTGGACCTTAAACACCTAACGACATTAATGGGATTAGAAAACTGGCTCCCGAAGCTTGTAAAACACAGAGCCTCGCAGTTATTACGCATGAAACCTTGCTAAAGAGGACACAAAAGCTGATAAACAGGGGTCCAACATCCTCGGAATAACTCTAATGCAGTGAAGCAGCTCATAACCAAACCAAATAACTCAAAAACTAAGAAAATAACTAAAGCGTTCATTAAATGACTGTAAATAATGCCACAAATTGAACTGACATTTTCTAAGAACTCTGAAATATTATAATTGATTTCTAACTGATGACTCCAAGAACCAATTCTACTTCACCGAAGGTGTCAGACCCAGTGGAATACTGATCATCACAAAGGGGTTCCCATGCATTTTTTTTCTAGGAATCTAGCTGGTTAACATTTTTTGGAGTCATGATGCATTTCAGATTTATTCACAACAGGCTGTCTGGGAGACACAGAGAAAAGTACTCAACAAGTTAACCTTGCAATAAGGCCTCAGGCATAGACTATGAAACCTGAGCACATTCGTAAAAGGAATCCTGAGTGGTTTTCTCAATCAAGAATGATTTCCTGACATCATTCAAAAACCAGACCGCAACAGATTTTTAATTTTTGAATGTAAACTAATAATGAAATGCCTTTCTGACCGAAGCAGCAGATATTCGAAACGTCAAAAAACCTTGGTGGCAGCCAGACTGTAGACGCCCAAGCGAATGTTTTCCCTCAAGATAAATAAGGCCGTGGCAGCTGCTCCCTACACTTAACACCCCTGCCCGTATGAAACACGTACAAAGTGTTGAATGGAGCAGACAGTTTTGTTAAGGGACAAGTTTTGTTTTGTTTCTTAAGAAAAAATTTTTGCTTAAATAAAAACTCCAGCTTCTTACCAATAATTTATTATTATTTATGTATGTGTACAAAAATACAAATATGAAAATGAAAACTACTGTGCACTAGATAGAATTTATTTCAAGAAAAGTTCTTTATTCTAGAACTTAAATACCCAAATTTGAAGAAATTTGTTTTCCACAATGGTAGTCCTTGCAAGATACAACAGCCCCTATATGTAAAGTAAGCATAATTTTTAACATATTCTATTTGTTTTATAATTACATTAGAAACACCACACCAAATAAGACTTTAATTATATAAACCCATTTGTCCTCGACATCTAACTGCAAAAGGACTTAAGTTTTTGGTAATATAATTGAATAGTTATCAAGACTTGAGGAAATGCATTTTGTTTCTTCATCTTCCTGTAGCAACTGGTCCAAATTCAACTGGAATTGTGTTGCCCAACAAAGCCTGGGACCACCGAGATGGTAGTTTTCTGGAGCAAAGGTGAGAAGCTACTATTAGACCAAAATTCTATTGCAAGTTCTACCACGGCATAAAAATGGTATTGGTTCAGACCAAGAAAACGCACTCAGATACTTCCTAATAAAACGGTTAGACATAATCAAAGCAAAGGGTTTATGGAAGGGAAAAGAAGAAGAAACAGTTACATAACATCAAGAAAAAGATCACATCAGCCTTTAGTATCTGATTACACCTTCAAGATGGTAAAAACCAATGATGGAGCAGTGATCAAGTTTACTTGAACGGCCAAAAATATTTCTCAACACAAAGAAACAAAAGATGATACAATTCTATAGTAATACTCAGCCATCCACTTTGAAAAGTCACAATTCACAACTGAAACCCAAAAAGAGCCCCCCCCCCCGGACATTTCACAAATATATCCTCAAACCAGTAATCACAGGAAATTCAGGGGAAAAAAATCCAATTCAAAATATAAAGAGCTTGTTCTTGAAAAAAGAACTCAATGGCTGGTGATTACCAGTAAAAGAAAGGTAACTGATGAAACTGTTCATCCCACCATAAACTATGAAAGCTGCAAAGTCATCATTTGCCTGGTGGAGTTGGCAGCTGTCTTTCTGTACTCCATTTCACTGAAAGGGAGAGAATAAGAACACAGGAGCAATAACGGCCAAAACCTGTTCTAGGGCATCTGTTTCCACAGCTGGAGACAGGGCACTTACCATTCTATATACAGCACCCTGGCTTAGACACTCAAGTGGGCAGTGTTAAGTTGCATGGCCATACAGTCTGACCATTAACAAGTCCCAGTCAGTTTTGCCTAGCCTTGGCCCATAAGTCGATCTGCTTCAAAAACACATTTCTTATTGTTCCACAAATGTGACTACTCTTGTTCAGTATTATTTAACAAGACAAAAAAACCCAAGACAATAAATTATATAACAAGGGCTGACCCTCTACAGAAAAAAGACCGCTAAGAAGAATTGGTCAAACTTTATGTGTATTCTTAATTAAGACACTAGACAAGATTTTGCAGTATTCACTCACCTTTAATCAGAACTGATTATTTTTAAAAGTGTTGTCACAGACTATATTTGCAAGCAGCTTTTAAACCCATTTCCAACATCAACATGTTGGAGCACTGGTAGATTCATTTAAAGTAATAAATTTTTAAAATTCCTTCATTCAGAAGCGGGGGGGAGGAGTGGGGGATGTTTGGATTTTCAAAACAGAGTTACTTGACTTCAACCACCTAAAGAAAAGATATTTTGTGAAAAGCTAACTACTTTCATGGATCTCTACCAAGCACTGGACCACAAATCATAGTCTTAAAACTCGGCCAAACATTAAGTTACACTGCCCTGAAGCAAGGAAACTCCCAGAAGGGAGGAGGATGAAGTTTATTTTAATTACGCTGCAGAATAAACTTTCTGGGCTTGAATCAGTCCCTTCCCCTTCCGACCGGCCGTCACATGTAACGCACGCTGACTTACCGGGGCTCCGGCCACCGCGGAACCAGGGCTGGTGGCATTATTCTCCTCGGGATCCTGGAGAGCTTCTTCTGGCCCCCGAGTCACAAGAATTCTAAAATGCTGTTGCCCCGCGTTTTGATCTTGCCTGATCTTAAACGTGCAGCCCTGACCCTGTGGCGTCCTTTCCACGGAATTCGCCCTGTGGATTTCGGGAGCCACCCTGCGGCCCCGAGGCGGCGTCTCCGGGTGTCCCCGCTCTTCCGTGGGGCTCCCGCGCTCCGCTCGGGGCTGCGTGGGGTACGAGGTGCTCCTTTCCAGCCGGATACGGGGATACCTCACCAACCTGTCCCCCTTCGTGCCGGTGAAACCGAAGTTGAAGTCGCCGCCCAGCCCCGGCGCGCCTGGTTGCGGCTGCTGCAACTGGAAGACAAAGCACCGCTTCCCGGAACTTCCAGAAGCATCTGGAACGTGCTGCAGGGACCAGCGCCGGGGCTCGGGCGCCGCAGGGCCGCTCTGGCCGTCGGCCCCGAAGGGCGTCAGCCTCACCTGGCGCACGTCGGCGCTGGAGGCGCGGTGCTGGATGCGGAGCCCGGCGCCCTCGGGCCCCCGGCGGCCCTGCGGCTCGGCCTCCTCGCTGCCCTCGGCAGCCACGGGGCCCAGCGCTCGGCGGCCGCACGTGCCGTTGACCTGGGGGCCCGCCACCCTGGCTGCCATCGGAGGCGAGCTCTCGGGGGCCTTGGGCTCCGGGGGCCCCGCGTCGCCGTCCGGGCCCTCGGGTGGCACGCACCCGTCGGGGGCCCCGTCGGCCGCCTTGCGCTGCAGCGAGATCTGCACCGACGAGCTGCGGGTGGGACGCGCGTCGACGGGGCTCAGGAGCTGCGGGATGAACATGGACGTGCTTCGTTTGAGCGCTCCCACGCCCTCCTGCAGGCCGCCGCCGCCGTCCTCCGCTCCGTTCTGGGCGAAGGGGTGAGGGCCGCTCCTCCGCGGGAGGGTGTGGAATGCCATGAAAAAGTCGTCTTCTCTCTCCTGGTCTAGGATCTCTGATTCGGGGGCTGTGTTGCTGCGCCCAGAGCCAAAATGAAACCGAAGCCGATGGGCCATGGTGCCCAGGGGGGCAGGGAGGGACAAGGCGAGCGGCAACAACAAGCCCGGCGCTGCCAGAAGTCAAAAACTAAAGACACAAACTCCAAGAAAAAGTGTCCCATCTGCCAAACCGTTAGCACTGCGGCACCAAGAGCGACAGATAGCAGAAATAACCCAAGTGGCAAGCGGCATTCCAGGCATGATTGGATAAGAGCAAAAAGCTCTCATCCACACTGTGACAGAGGGTAGGATGGCCAGAACCACATGACCGCGGTCTCCCCCTCCAATGCCAGCTTGTGGACTTAGTGGAGTTTTCCCCCCTCTCGCTCTCATTTTTTTTTTTTAAACAGCAAGAGCCTGAAACAGCACCTTCCCAGCTGCTGCTTTTCCATCAGACAGGAGTGGCCCCAGCAGGGAGCTCTCACAGCTGACTAAGGCAGCAAACACACTCCGAGCCACGCTGCTATAAATCTACACCGCATCACATTCACAGGACAGTGCCTTCCGAACAAAGCGGGGCACCCGGACTCTCTAACCAATACGAGAGGCCGGGCCTGGAACACACGGCACCACAGCGTCTCCCCGCCTCCCCACCGAACCGAATAATCACAAGTAAAAACGCCTGGTCTGCAGGAAAACCCTTTCACAAGCATCGGATGTTATGTTTCTCTGTTATTTATGATATCACCACCCTACCACGATGGAATGCAAACCAATAAAACGTACTATAAATACGATTACACGCCCCACAGAATTAGCGTCCCTTTAATGCTAAATAATTAGAACATGATCTGCAAGGAACAAAATAGCTAAGTGGAAGGGGCACGACTTACAGCACCGCCAGCGAGCGGTCTGTCTCCTGCTAGTACAACATTTTTCATTTAAAAGATGCATGTATGAGGCAGTCTTACGCATAATATGATTGTCAGACAGGGAAGTACTGGAGAAAAGGAACCCAGCTGGAGAAAACATTCCCGCCCATATGCCAGATAGGAGAAAAAATCACCACCACCATCCCCCCATAAAAAGGAAGGAAAATTGAAGAAGGGTGTGCATGTGGTTTTCGTAGTAAGTTAACTTAAATACCATACAGAAAAGAGGCTGCCCAGAGCTGCCTGTTTTCCAGTAAGAAGTCAGCAATATTACTGCCATTGCGATACCAACATGGAATCCTGCTATTTTTGTGACAGGCCCCTTTCTGGCCCTTCTTACCTAAGAAATAAAAGTAGAAGTCCACGTTCAAAAAACTGTCATCAGATTAGTAGTTAACTTGGATATATTCTGTGTGTTTTAAACTTACTATTTTCCATGATCCAGAAACATCAGTTATTTAACAAAGAGGTTTATTTAGGAGGGAGTAAAAAATAGGAAGGGAAAATACCAAGCTGCAAACAGTGACCAAAAGTTTATTTTAAAATCTGCAAAGCATGACATTGTCAACAGCTCTGGAGTCGAGGGTGTGGAGGATTAACCCTGTGTTTACATACACCCAAACCTGTTTTCTAAAGGCATGTGTTTTAAATGCCAAAAATGATCTCTATGAGAGAAATGGAAGTTAGCTTGTTTAGTGCTGAAACTGCCCAAGTACCACTACAGTCACTATTGTCTTCACTGGATTAACAGCCAACAAAGAGAAAAACACTACTACCAGCATTCACTGCACAGTCACAATGGCCTGGGGCAAAGCGAAGTCTTTCTGTCATGAAACAGCTTTTCAGTGAAAGTCTGTATTCACACAGGATTTCTAAGAGCTCTGTGTTCAAAGCCCTTTTTTGGTTTAGAAGTATAGTTTAGGGCCCATGGCAAGGTCATCTCAACAACACTCATTGTTTTAGATAACAGAAATGGGAAACAAATTTTTTTTTTTTTCAGTGAATTTCTCTTAATGGAAGAAAATGAAAGAATGAATGAAAACACCTCTGACAAGAGGCAGTTTTTCCTCAGACGTAAGCCTTTCTTCACCGTGAAGAAGTGTTAGTGTACTCAACCAAGGAGAGAATAAGAATTAGTCAGCAAATGCCTCTGTGCCTCCAGGGACTTCCAGTTACTCCAGTGAACACTGCCTAACTCAGTCTTCGCTGCATGGGAGACGGAGGGCTACGAACTGTCTCCTCAGCGGAATCTCTCATTGAATTTAACAAGAAAGTAACTTCAGACACACAGCAAAAATGATTTCAATTTAGTTACTCAAAACTGCTAATTATCCCCCAAGGTATAAAATGTTGAGTTCCATGCAAAGCCACCAAGAAAGAACCCATATATTTTAATAAGAAAGAGATCGGGATGGTAGGCCAGAATCTGTTGGCTTTCTGATTTGCAGAATACCAAGCACAGGAGATGAAACACACTCCCAGATTCTACAATTGGGGAGGGGGGGGCGGGGAGGGGGGCCTGGCCATTTGCCACCACTGGCCTGAGACTTAGGAGACCAGAAGGTTCCACCCTGGAGCTTCCACTGACTCGTGTGTTTAAATTATGTAAAGGATCTAGACTTCAAGTCTCTCGTTTGCAGAGACGAGGAGTGAAATGGGTTGTCTTATAAGGCTCCTCCAGATCAAATATTCTATTAAACTCAAGCTATTCAAAAACTCAAGAGTTTCAGCTGAATTTTGCAGAATGGTTCATAATAACATTCCGTTTAACAAAATAATAGACATAAGTTACAGGGCAAGCAAATCTGAGTACAACTGACTTACTGAGTTATAATACCACTTCTGAGAGTGCCTTGAAAGCTTACACGTAATATTCCTTGTCATAGTCAGAACACTTGGTTGATGGGTACTTGATATATACTTTCTAGTTAGTTAAATCTGGAAAAATGCTTTAAGCCAGATTTGCTTCTGAAATTTCATTTCTAAAAGATATCTAACATATATCAGTTATGTGTATATATAAAAAATATACTTTATAGAGAGAGAGATATATCTATACCTCTACCTATCTATCAATCTATACAGAAAATGTTAGTTTGTATCAGTTTTATGCCTCAGTAACATCTTTGGTTCTTTAAAGATACTTCCATGAATTTCCCTTGAGAAAATAACACTTTTAAATACAGCTTAATTTTACCTGCTAAATTTAGATTCACTTTTTGCTAGATATTGTTAATTAGATTTTTGTTTTCCCAAAGAGAATTGCCATAGATTCATTACTGCATGTGTCACAATAGTGTAGTCTGGCTGATACTTAAAAACCCTGAATGGTTGTTTTCCTGTGTGAGGGCCTCTTTACAGACTTCCTTCTGTTCTGTATTCCCTACAGAGGAGCGTAAATATATGGTTTGTATAGCACCAGCGTGACTTTCACTAACATTAACTATGATAAAAACATACATCTACACAAATAAATTTTGCCCTAGCCATACAAAAATAATTGTTAGAACTTTGAACATTAAACTAGCAATGGGACAAAAATAAGTCTTTTTGAGCCGCATACATACTTTCAGAAGCACAACATAAATAGAGTTTTAAAGATGCTGCTCTAAAAATTCAGTTTTTAAAAAATGAAGCAATAATTGAAAATTGGGACCACTTACCAATCTGTTTTCATCAAATACTTCAAATAGGAGTCTGTGATTAGATGGGTTTACCTATAAGGAACAAATAGTATTTCAAAAAGGGGCAGAAATAATTCAAAGGATGAAATAAGAGACAGAAATAGCAATAACACACCCAAATCAATTGTGTAATATGAACAATTAACCTACTCTTCTGGAAATCCTATATCTACTAAATCAAGTTTTCTATTTTGGTTTCTATATTATTCTACACCTATCATTTAGGCATATCAGAAGAAGAAAATGCTTTTAGCTGGTTTTCTAACCTCAGGAAGAATAATTCGAAATAGTTTTAAAGAGTTTCTAAATCTCCTCTACAAAAGGCACCCTCATACTTGTAAACCAAGGCCACCTCCTCACAAGGGTCTACGCTTGAGGAAATCTCTTGGGCCTAGTAATACTAGCAATGACAAAAATAATGAAGAAAATAGTACAAGTAGCTTTTTACTATTGTGTGCTTATTTTTTAGGAAATATCTCCTTATTAAGTATCAAGACACATGATCTCATTTAATCCTCGCAGCAACCCTATGATTTTTAACTGTCACCCCAATTTTACAAAGGAGGAGCTGGTTCTCGAGGGTGAAGTAACTTGCCCAAGAGCCCACATCTAGTATGCAGAGCAAATAGGACCCCAACCAGGCCTGGCCTGCTTGTCTCCAACAGCCCACGCTCTGAACCATTACTGATACAAAGAAATGAAAGCTGTCTCCACTTCAAGCAACTGTGGGGTCAATGTCAGAGCTACTGGGCTTTCAATGTCTTTTTGTTTTTTTCTGTCTCTTTACCAAAACCTCACCAAAATAGCAGGAATCATCATTTGGACTCCAGTATCCTTTAGTTAAGTACCAACCATGTGTGAGACATGGTGGTGGGGTGTTCTTGTTTATGTCATCGCATGTAAATCCTGGAAACAGCCACAGCCCTATGAAGTGAGGACTTCCCTCTCCTACCTGAGAGATAAGGAACCCACAGAGAATGCAAGATCTCAGGTGGTTTTTCCAGGGTCACAAAGGCTGTAAGTGGTAGAGCCAGATGTGACCCAGGTCTACTGTCATTAAGTCTTGGCTGCTTCACAATGGAAAGTAGAATGAAATAACGTTTGACGGTACAGCCCAGAGCACCACTTGTGCTTCTGGCGCCTTTGCCTGCCCTCAGCCTAATGATGGAGCAAGCAGTTGGACGGGGGGTTTAGCGTCTGTCTGTAACCTCTATGAAGGGTTGTGCTGCTGACCAACGCATCCACGGGCTGTGGCAGGAGCTCACACGCAGTAGGCACTCAAGAAAGACTTGTGGTATAAATAAACAAAACCTTTTTTTAAAAAAAGTCAAGAAAAATAAAGTTTTACATATGTCGATAGCCAAGATAAGTTGAAAAAAATTTTGGATGTACTAAAATTGACATAAATGCGGCCAAGGTGTTAAACTGAAAGATGTCTAAGTAATCTGGATTTTTACAAGTGGAAAGCTCTATCTGAGAGTTAACTCAGGGCCAATAACATCTGTCTGTCCCCATTAGCTTTTCAGTCCTTCATGAAGTAATTTAGAATACATCTGGTAGAGACTACACATAGAATCTCACCAAGTATTAAAATATCAATGCCATATTTCAGCTCTGAACACAATAGAAAGCAGATGTGCTATACAGTGATCTCAGTATGGAACATACAAAATCCCATTCAAAGGAAGAAATCAGGACCAGTTATAATGGGGCTAATGGTAATATCGTTCTCCGGAAATCGACACTAACCGGATCTCACCTAGAGCATTTCTGGAGATAAAGTAGTTCTTAATATCACCGCTATACAGTTATAACATATTCATTTTGAAGAGAAAAAACCCCTTTCTTTCCATTAAATAGCAGACTAGTTTATTATTTCCAAAATTTCAGTATAAAAAAGCCCAGCAACAACCACAAAACCTCACTAAACAGTAAGCTCTGTGAATTCAGAGAATTCAGTCATTTCTACACATAGCTATTCTAGATAGTAAACAGAAAAGGCTGAGAAATTTTACCTAATTCAGTGATATTTAAACTCCAGAAGTCACGTTATGCTACACACATACACTCACACTAAATATCTGAATTACAAAGATTTTCCTTCCTAAATGGAACATGATTGGTAATTTTTAGGCTTCTTTTTAATCACGTTGCCTCTATTGTTTTATTTTATCTCTAAAATAATTTATACCCCATGTCTCATAGACTTAATTAAGCTATCATTTTAATAACATTTCTTTGAGTAGAAAAGCTAAAATATGGTATTTGGGTAACTTTTCTTACTTCCCTAAAACATTATTTTCTTACTAGTTATAATCTTTGAAAATTTGGGACACATTAGGAGGCTACCCAACCATTTCTCAAACTAAAAGGAATTTCACAATAAAAATCTGACAGCTTTTGCTCACCAGGAATCTATCATGATAACATATCAATCTACTTATCAACAACAATTATTACCAAAAAATGAAAACTTACTCTAAAATAAAATTCTTCATTCCATTTTGGGTTCAGCGTCTGGAAGAGAAATTGTAACATCATTTACTGTCACTGATGCTACTAGTACAAGCAGTCCACATATTTGCTTAAACATTTTTCTTGATTAAAAAAATTGCTAAGACATATTCAAAATGGCAATAAAGGAAGCATTTAGTCAATTACTGGAGACAATTCTGTAAACCAAACTAGATGGGAAAGGGATCTATCTATGAAACAGATGATTCATACAGAAGAAACCATAAATTGCATGCTATCAACCAGAAGAAAAAACGCCAGGGATCTACAAAAAGCCATCGTCATGAAAACATAAAAGATATTCTTCAAAAAATTAACTTTGATATGATTATTCTATCATGAAGGAAACGAACTTTGTTCACTTCCCCCAACCTGCCACCAATCTGCTTTGGAGAGCAATGAAGCAGGTGGCAGAAGGGTGAAAGTGTTCACTATTCACCTAAATAGTGAAAGCTGAAGAATAGTTTATCAAGAACAATACTGATGATCAGATTTTATAACAACAAAAACCTGCTAGTTACAAACCAAAAGTGAATTCTTTTTTTCCAAAATAACCAGGTTTAAAAGTATTCCTCTACTTATCCTTCAGTCCTTTTCTCTATCCATTCGTTCATCCATCTCCATATCAACCTATTTAAATATATCTCCCAAGGACACGGAAAGGATACTTTTGTTCTCAGCATGGGCTGCCAAACATCCTTTGAAACTAAGATGAAACAGATACTATGAAAGGATACATATGCACATATGTTCGTGCATTTGTACTTGCATAATACGCAAATAAACATCTCTTAAAAATTATACATAAAAATTTGAGACTGAAAAATCACAGCCTCACCAATGGCTACAGGTATTATTTTAGTCAGAATGATATTTGCCTTTATCAATCTATGTCCTTTAACATACTAGTGCAGGAAGAAGCAAAGAAAAAATATTAACACAATGCCCCACAAAAACAAAAAACGCAGAATTCGTACAACATTGAACTGGCATTTTAGAAAAAATTAGCACTTTCCCACCCACGACTCAACAGTGAATCCAATCCTAAATAACAGGGGTTCATAGGTTCAGCTTTGAATGGAGCCAAGATGGTAAGGAGAGAGAGAGAGGAGGCAGGAAGGGAGAGGGGTGGCGGGCAGCCAAGGAGAGGTGGGGCAGGCCCAGGCCTGCCAGGGGCTGCAGCTCCTGGAGACCAGCTTCAGAGGACCGCAGAGGAGAAGAGGCAAATGACAGGCGAGGGAAGAAAACAATAACACAACAACGTGAGAC